GCCGCTCGTGGGGCGGCCCCGCGCTACCCTCACTCGCGCAGCTGCTGCAGGATGAGCTCCACGGCCTCGGCCAGGTTGTCCACGTAGGCGTCAGGCTTCACCTGCGGGTGGTTCTCGTCCGAAGGCCTGCGGAGGAGACAGAGGGTGAAGGCGGCGGGGCGGACGCCAGGAGGAGGCCGGAGGAGCTACGCAGCCCCCTGCCCTCCGCACCGCGGCCAGCAGCTCCCGGCGTTTCCCGGCCCGGGAAAGCCTGCCTGCTGCTTCAAGGTCCTCATACATGTGTCTGGGCTATCTGACCGGGCAAAACCTTGCCCTGCCTCGCACAGAAGGTGCTCTGTGTAGTCGCCAGTGAGTGCACGGCAGTGCGCTGCGCTCTGCCTCGTGCTCCCATTTGGCACTAGCCAGGCCTGGCAGGAATCGCCAAGAAGAGCTTTCCCTGCTGCCCAAGGAGGCTGTGCAAATAACTTTTCTGCTATGGCCCCTCCCTAGACATAAGTAAGGAAGGAAAAACAAGGCCTCCCTTCTGATCTAGGGGCAGGAAAGGTCTGTGCGTAGCCTTCGCTAGCAGGAGGCTGCCTGCGGGTTTCACTTTGCAAGCCCTCTGCTTCCCTGCAAGGCCAGGGCCCTGCGTGGTAGCACTACCGTGGCCGCTGGGCTGGGACGACGGGCAGCTGCCGAACAGAACACGTGTATTTTATAGCCTCAACGGCGCTCCCTGGGGAGAGCTGAGCGCCTCGTGTCCCGCTCCCACCTCTCCGGGACCCTGCAAAGGGCACGACTCCGTCCAGCTGGAGCTGTTTTCTCAGCGGGATGATGCGTTTCCCATCGGATGCGCAGCCGGCAGAGGTTATTAATAGCCTGCGCAGCCCGCGGAGCTCGGCTGTACGAGCCCCACGTTTGCTCCCTGTCGGAGTCGGGGCAAGCGGCGAACGCCAGCGTGCAGCTGGGAACGAGGCGCCAGCAAAGCGGCGTGTTCCACGCGTGCAAGGCCACGCCATGGTGCCTTATTTCATTCTCCAAGTTCTAGCTTGTTACAGGGCTACGGTGCAGCAGGAGCCGTAATTACAATGATTTTCAGGTTTCCCTCAACCAAAGAAGCATTTAGATTGACGACAGTAAAGCAGCTTAGAAAATGTGAAAAACTCTTAAAATATAAAGCAAATACAAATTCAATGCACATCTATCCTAATACCCCTATTGAGCCAAAAGGCTTTTATGAACCCAGAACTACCTTTGCAGGGGGTATGCAAAATAGTGTATTTTTGGCAGTACTTCTTAATTTGAGTGGGGATCCAAAAGAATTAACGAACCAAATTTCTTTCCATTTTACACTGCAAAATGTTTCCTTCCTACCTTATAAATCAAAAGCAAATTTTAAGAATTGTTTGGGAGGAAAGAGAACTTCCCAGTCACGGGGATCTGATCTACATAAGCATTTAACAACAGAGCGACCAACCTGTACCAGCTTCTTAAAGCCAGAGGGGAAGGTACCACCCCGCACACCCTTGGTGTGTGCTGAGGAAGGGGAGCACGCAGAGCAGTGTCTAACAGCTACAGACAGGACTTCCAGAGGGAAAATTAGGAAAGAGGGAAGGCACTGCCTGGGGAAGACCCACTTGGACACGGGCTTCATCTGCTGCACTCCTCTTATTGAGCCCCAAACTCGTGATTTATCTTCCACTTTACAGCTTGATACAGGGTTACACGTGGGAATCCTAAAATACTCTCCAGCTATGCAGTTTGCAGACAGATGGCCTCTGCTGCAATGCAAGAGCTTCCATATTTTTAATCATATGTTACTGGCATAATCCAGAAGAAAACGAGGGAAATATGTAGCCCTTGTGCAGCTGACGTTTCCCATTACTGGGAGTTAAGCAGAATCCAGGAGGTGCTTTACCTGCGGAGCAGCTTCTCCCCCAGCGCCTCGTGTGGCCACTTCCTTCGTCTCGCCGAGCGTTTGTAAGTCACCACAGCACCAACCAACAGCCAAGCACTGGCTTTTTTTATCCTACTTCGGTTTTGCTCTTTTGAGCATCTGTCAACAGGAAACTACAGGCCGCAATTCCCAAACACTAGTGCCACGAAGCGATGCTCCAAAAGCTCCCAAATCCTGTAGGAGCCCGAGGATTTGGAAGCGTCGCAGGAAGACGGGGCAGTGCTGCAAAGGGCTCTTTGGACGTCGCCACCTCTTCGAACGTTCTCGGGCCGCGTCGGACGCGCGCAGCGAGCACAAACCCACGACAGACCATGTCACCCCCACCAAAATAATGAGAGGAATGAGCTCCCTTCTGCGGAACAGGCGAGTGGCGAAAGACCCTCCCGCTCTGCCGCCTTCCCAGGAACCGCAGAGCTTGGTGCTGCAGGAGCCCCTCTCCCAGGGCCCGGGCATTGCTGGGGCCTCAGCAGCTCCCTGTCCCACCAGGGACACGAGGGCACTTCAGCCCCGGGCGCTTCTTGCTCTCATACCTCAGCTTGTCCTCTCTTTCGGTGATGATGGCTTTTTTTTGCATTTACGAAAATTTGCACTATTACAGGCATCGTAACAGATGGTCACAAAGCTCAAAGGGGAGATGGTTATTTAGTCCTTTTCTCTCTCATATTCCAAAAATAAAACAATCTAAAAATACCTTTCCTTTGCAGGTCAGTTTAGGAATGAAGTTACAGCAAGCTAAGTTTGAGATAAACTCCTTCCGCCTCTTTATGTGGGACTCTGGTTGCACAGAAGGCCCATAAATCAAAATGACAGAAGATTTTAGTCTGTAGCTGCATATTGAGCTGTCAGCCGTCTTGGCCAGCGCACAAAATCGCCTGAGAAAAATCAGCTCCTGCCTTGGGAAACACTCTCCCTAGTTAGGCAAGAATTCCTGGGAATGCTTTAGCTCCACAGCCTCGGCCGTGCACGGGGAGTCGTGTCTAGCCCAGGCTGGTCACGTCATGTCCTCCCGGGGACACGAGGCCTCCCGGGGACAGACAGGGTCGGCTCTGGCGTGTGACAGATGCAGTTACATGTCCGGGCAGGTTGTCAGCGCTGAGCGCGGCTCTGGAGCAGCTTTGTTTGGGGAGGAAGCGCTGGCTCCGGCTGTGCGCGGGAAGAGCAACGTCTGGAGCGCGCACAAGGGCACGGCCGGGCTCGGGACGCGGCCCGGCCCCTCCTCCCGCCCCACAGCAGTAGGAACCCATGGACAATCATCCTCTGAAGGAAGCAGCGACGCAGCACTCGGTGCCTTGCAGCGCGCTGGGGCAGGCGCGCAGCATCCTCAGCATGACGCAACCTGGCAAGAAGTCGCGAGGCTCCGTCGCTGCTCGTGTCCATCAAACCGTCCCCAAGAGGTGACTAAACACCCTCTTCTCGCCGGGCCTATCCGTCACTGTCAGCGGCTCGGCAGCTTCCACTGCAGCAGGCGCCGGGAGGCAGCTCCTCCGCGCGGGCCGGTCCGTTTGGAGCAGGGCTGGAAGGCGAGACGTGAAGGAGAGCATGGAGCGAGCAGGATGCTGCCCCCGGGAGTGCTCTGCCCTCGCAGGAGCAGCTCCAGCGTGGCGGGAGGGCTGCCCGCAGCTCCTCTCTGGGGAAGCAGGACCCAAATCCTGGATCATGAGGGGCAGCGGGAAATCACAGTTTGTGCAGGAGTAACAATATTCACCTGCTGCCTGGACCTGGGCGGACGCTGTGATCGCCGCAGGTTTGGAGTGCCAGGACAGCGGGGAGTTTTGGAAGTAAATGAAGTGAAATGAATACACATTGAAGACAGCACTGTCAGGGCTGTTGTCACCCTAACAACAGTCACGGCTTTTCACTCCCATGCGAAACCTCTGCCCTGAGCTGGGATTCGGGGCTGTGGGAGCCTGTGCCCCTGTGCACATGAGCCCCCGCTGGCAGCCCTGGCCGCCCGGGCTGTCGCAAGGGAACGTTCCTCAGCAAGGAATGTGGGCTGCAGCGTGTTTGGGAGCTGAAACAGGCTGACGGGATCGCGGAGGTATTTTGAGACGCCGATAGCCAAACTCCTTGAGGGGAGCAACAAGTGGGTGTTTGCAGTCTGCAAACAAAACACGCACGTAATGCTGCACTAGCAAAGCCCCCACGCCAACGGCAGGGCCTGCTCAAGGCCTGGTTTGTGCTCTCTTCCAGCAAAACACATGGGGAGCAAGCAGGAAACTGCTCAATTCCTGCGTGGACAAAATATGGAAGATTTAGCAGATGTAAGTAAAAGTGGAGGTAGTCGACATGGTCTGCTGTGGCCACTGTGAAGTGGCACAGCAAGTCCCGCGGCTGCACGGGACCTCCTCGGGGCTCACCCGAGGGCCCTATTGCACACGCTGCCCTCCCGCTGCCTAAAATTGGATAGAAAAAGAGGTTAAAACTTTCTCCTGACAGCGTATTCTTCTGGGGCTCTTACCACGGTTGTAAAATATGTGAGCCGGAGTTTAACCAGATTTGCTTCATGACGAGTGTAAACAGACCCTGTTAACCTCCGCCAGCTTCTTTGGATGTAAATTTTGCCTTGATTTTCCTCGACGCGACAAGCGAAGCCCCTTTTCTGTTGCACGTGCAATGTGCGGCGCAGCGCAGCACCGCAAACCCGCGCGCACCACGGCGGGGAGGCAGCGGCCCCGGTGCTGCCGTGCGGGATCCGCTCGGGAGCCGCCCCGGGCCCGGGGCGCCCGCAGAGG